TATATATATATATATATATATATACATATATATATATATATATATACATATATACACACACATATATATATATATATATATATATATATATATATACACACACATATATATATGTATGTATATATGTATATATACATATATATAAATATATATATATATATATATATATATATATATATATATATATAGTGTTATTATATATATGATTATATATATGTGTGTACACACACACACACACACACTCACAAATTTATATACATATAATCCTCTTACAGTTAAACATATATTGCACCTGTTGGACAACAATGCACTTTTGAGGCTTTTAGGTGAGAACGTACAGTAGTTGTTAAGATTTCAACTAATCAGTTTATTTGATTTAGTTTATCACCACAAGATGGTGACAGAGACATTTTTAGGGAAGGAAAAATTGTTGAACTGTTTAAATCAATTTAAAACTGGTAAGAGGCACTCAAAGTTGAACTCTATTTTTTGTATGTTGTAGTGCCGTATTTATACCATAGTAATCTGGTTGTGTTTGCTTTGCTTTCATTTTTTAGGGTTAATTATGGTGATCTCCCGATTGCAACAGAAATACTGGAAAATCTCTGTAGACTGATGGCATTTTTAGCCGTTCAGCCTTATAATCTTAAAATGTCAGCACAATCATCTGTTTTGTCATCATTTTAGACATTATGCTAGAGAATCATTCAACTACTATAGCTCTAAAGTGACATTGGTGAATAAGCAATATTTTCTGCCGTTCTGACCAGTTGCGGATGTGAAGAAATGAAAGTAGTTCCATTTACAAAACGATTTTGAAACTCTGTGTTTGATTTTCTTCTTATACAGGTGATTAGAACTGTTGTATAAACGCAATATCACATGAGAAGCAATGCGATATGGCTGTACATTACCACTGGTGGGACACTAAGGCACTTGTTCTACGACTTTGTCCCAATGCACATCTCCCACCAGTGCCAATATATAGCCATATCACACTGTTAGTCGTGTGATACTGCTCATATATATGTATGAAATGGTATAAACATTTACGTTTTGTGAACTATTATAAATTAAAGTTGTTGAAATAGCCTGAACATGTTAAAAAAAATAAATGTCACACACACTGAACAACTGAACCAATGAACAACTGAACAAACAACACACAAAATGTTGTAGCTTTATGTAATTTTGTGAAACAACATTAACATGAAATCAAGCTTCTGCTCGGTATTCTCAGTACTATGCAGCACAAACTTTACACTAAAGTAATGCATCACTTTAATTGTAATAATAAATTGACATTAATTAACTGCCTATAAGCACGTAGTTCTTTTTCAGCCTTTTAAAATTAACTAAAACAAAAATCGCAGGCTTTACAGAGTTTTCAAACTCATGATAATCAATCATAATTTTAATGTAAATGACAATTAAAAACAGTAATACTAACCATCAGATAATTTATCATATTTTACTCTGAAACAAGGAATCATGACAAGTGACAACATCTAACCCAAAATTATTCATACCCCTGGGGCATGAAAAGTACAGTGCCTAAACTCGCACTAGTACTCTGTACACAATTCTCTGAGATATATATAGTGAAAGCCACAGTGAAAACATGTTTGTTCTCTAGTTCTTTGTGCTGGATGTCGTGTGCAGCAGCTGGACACGAGGGAAAACAGCAGTGCAGCTATTAATCTGTGATTAACTCCTGTTGTTCTCTGAGCAGTGGGAGACTGTGTTTCTCTGTGGGCTCATGCGCACTGTCACATCCTCACAGTACACTTTTATGAACCACACTGCACCAAAATGTAGATTTTAAAGAAAGCTCAGAGTCAACAAGATAACAGCTAATCTAAGATGATAAAGGTTAATGGGTTAGACAGTAGAAATCAGGCTTATATGTATATATTTAGATGCATTCAAAACTAATACTTCTTAGAAAATCAGTGTTCATAAAAAATAGACTAGGAATGTGTTATTTGGTTTTCAGGTACTGTGATGACTCCAAATTACCTGCGTTCACCCAAGATCAGCGTGTCTCCATTCTGTGACTGCAGCAGCAGCGGCAACAGCAAAGAGGAATGCGACAGATTCACTGAGTTCTTCACTGACAACGCCTGCCTGCGTGAGTTACTGCCCTCACTCACATTAAACGCTGACTCACAACCGCTCATTTACATGTGCAGTCTCCACAAAGATTAGAGCTAGACATACAGCTACAGTATGCAATTGCATGCTGTTTTTCACTGAGAAATATAGGAGAACGGGAAAATCACAACAACTTTAGGCTTAACTGTAATTAGTTACAAATAGGGATGTCCAGATCAGTTCAGTCCGGGTGATTTGATTATCTACCACATCCCTAGTTCTAAACAAATGCAAAACATCAAAAAAGGAAAGTTTCCTACACATCAGTTTTTGGGAAAGGATCAGTTGATTGTTTCACAAAAAATAAAAATAAAAAAAATGCATTTGATCACTGCTCCAACTCAACTTTAACTCAATTGATGGCCCTCTGAATATTTTCTTCTGAATATCTGTGCATATTATATAACAAAATAAAGAACTGAGCTTCTGCTTTTTAACAAATACAACAGACTCTATCTTCACGTGTTCAAGTTGTCACAGCTTGAATGCAGAGAGGTGTGATTGGTACTGTTTTTTTTTTTTTTTTTTAATGAATTTAGGTCACAATTAATGCTAATAACTTGTCTATAATCAAGTTATAAAGTATGATTTTGTTCTGCATTCCTAATACTACCCACAACGTGTACCTTTCTAGATATTAATAAACTGCTAATTAGTAGTTTATTATTGTAGTGTTAGTTAACGGTTTGTTATTACTGTGTGACCTAAACTAAACTGTTACCAATATATCTTACTTGGTGTTCCAAGCATTAAGTTTAGAACACGATTAGCATGAGTAAATTAAGACAAACTTTTATTTTCAGCTACTTTATCATAGTTTTTAATTTGTCAGTGTGGGCATTTCTGGTATAATATCTGCTGTCAAGATCGTCACTGTCACTGCATACTTGCTGTATCTGCCTCAGGTAAACAATGATCTACACTGCCTGATCCTGAAAAAAAGCCCAAGCTATATACTGATATAGAAATAGAGAAATCAGTCTTGAAAACAGGTTCAATAGCTACCGTTTAAATGTTATTTGAACTGGTGAATAAATTCATACATTCATTCTCCTTTAGCTTAGTCCCTTTATCAGGGGTCGCCACAGCAGAATGAACCACCAACTTATCCAGCAAATGTTTTACGTAGCAGATTTCTTCCAGCTGCAACCCAGCACTGGAAAAACACCCAACACTCGCATTCACACACACACTAAAGAGGAAACCCACCCTAACAAAAGCAAAACATGCAAACTTTACACAGAAACGCCAACTGGCCCAGCCAGGGCTCAAACCAGCAACCTTCTTGTTGTCATTTTAATACAAGTTTTGGCTTAAATTGTTAAAAAAA